ATAAAACTTTCTCATGGTCTTTGTAATTCCAGCTCAGATCATATCCTGAATAGAGGGGGTTGCTGCTCCTATTGTGCTGCCGCCACCATTGCACCCCCGGCGCTGCCATTGTGCCAGTGCCCAGACTCCTTGCAAGGAAGCCGGTCACTGCCTCTTTGCGCGGCACTCAGGCAGCCAGTAGAGTAGCTTCCCTGCAAGGACCCCGAGGGCTGTCTCTGTGCATGCACCCAACCCCTAGCTTCTCTTCCCAGAGCTGGGGCTGCCTCTGTGCATGTGCCCACCTATCAGCTGGGTGCCAGGCACATGTGCAGAAGCAGCAAGCCTGGCTCATGGATGGGAAGGCAGCTCATTGTCTCTGACCATGATGATGGCAGTGACGGACGGAGCAGGTAGGGGAGGTGACAGGGGCAGTGGGAAGGGAGTGGGAGGGCATTGTTTTTGGAAGGGATTCCTGAACCAGATTGTGAACCAAGTCATGAACCTGCTTGATTTGTTGTTGTTTTCTGGTTCATCATTTGGTTCATGCCTATCTCTAATCCTAAATAAATCCAGTCTCTGTGGCCTCCTTTTTTCCCCAGGACTCAGTTTCATGTGTGTAATAGAGTCTAGTAGAGCACACACTCACCCACATTTTTGGGTAGCTTTACCAAGAAAATCTAAGTTTCAGGAAACTGCTCTCTATATTTTGATGCCCGCTCCCATGTCCTTGAGGCCTGTCACACTGCTGTAAACCCTACTCATAACACAGACCTTATTTTCATGTGGCATTTTTAGAAACACGGAGTTTAGTGGGAATCTTGAACTCGCTAAGTCTGCGGTTCCACTTTCAATTAGTTGACCACCCACATTCTTCTTTCACCCCACATTAATTTGATTTTATAATAGAGATTCATGTGGCTGGAGACCCATTTGTGCTTTTGCTCCTTTTCCCATTACAGCATGGTAATTGCAAGCAGTGACTATAACTTTAAGTGGCCACAGACTGTGGGACCGCTCAGCTGCCACCATAGGGAAAATAATGGGGGGGGGGGGAAACACGATCTATGTTTCTGTTACAGTTTCTTGTGCATTTATAATGGCACAACAAACAGCTTTAGGTAAACAAAGTGGACTACATATCACAATTAGTCCAAGTCTTCACTTTTAATCTCTACATAAAGTTTAGAATCACACCAGGAACTAACAAACACCTTCCTCATTGGTTCAGAAAGCTGAGGAAACCAAAACATAATTGCTCTCTGATGAAGCAGTGTGCGCAGCATGCATTCTTGATAGACCACATTCAATTGTTAAGAGTCTCCAGCTGGGACAGGATGGATGGAAGCTGGCATGATGAAGCAAGTTTTTCACTATTAGTGGAGTCTGGAAAATGCTCAGACATTAAGATTAATTTAATACTGTATAATCAAGTCAAAGAAGCATGATCTGCTTTGCTCCCTTCGAACATTTGTGCATTAATTACCATAAGCAGCTCACGTTGAGTAAAAGTTTAAGGTCACTCAAGAATATGATAACAAACAATGGATGGAATGCATGCTGACAACTCTACTAATCAGACGTAAGCTTTTTATCAGCTATAGTAAGAAAGCCTTTTGCTTTGGCCTATTGCCTTCCTACAAATATGACAAAACTGTAGGACTAGACATTGCTGAAAAGCCCAATCCACTTCTCAAAGGAAGATCCTTGACAAGTAAACATTATATGGGTTAAATAATATAATCTTAAGAAAATTCCCAACAAAGAGAGAAAAGAAGGTGAATCATGTCAAACATGGACATAGAAGGAAATTCATTACATCACTGCAGTGAGAAAGTAGGCATACATTGAATTGTGGGTTATTCAAAATTAGCCCCTTTCACATATAGAATTAGCCTCTCAGGCCCTGTTTCCAGGTGCACACAGCACATTTGGCTCTAATAAAGTCAGTTCTTACTTACGTCAGCAAGTCAAAGATAGCATCTTCAGAGTTCCAGAATGTAGAGAAAGTCAATGAACCTTTTTTTCCCTTTTAACTCATGTAAATGCTAGGTCATGGTGGTGCTGTGGGTTAAACTGCAGAAGCCTCTGTGCTGCAAGGTCAGAAGACCAGCAGTCGTAAGATCAAATCCACACAATGGAGTAAGCTCCCATTGCTTGTCCAAGCTCCTGCCAACCTAGCAGTTCAAAAGCATGCAAATGCAAATAGATAAATAGATACCACCACGGTGGGAAGGTAATGGCGTTCCGTGTCTAGTTGTGCTGTCAATGTGACCATGGAAACTGTCTACTGACAAATGCTGGCTCTTCTGCTTGGAAATGGGGATGAGCACTGCCCCCTAGAGTCAGACATGACTGGACTAAATGTCAAGGGGAACCTTCACCTTTACCTTAAATGCTAGGTCAGGGGCATGGTTGTAAAGCCCATTCCATGCATTATTCAATCTCATTTTATGCATATGAGACAGGAGCTACTGCTAGTCAACTAATACATGTACTTCAATATTGTTTAGTCTGATTGCCAGCCTTCTCCAAGGTATTAGGCAAAAGTATTTAAGATAAAGCCTCCCCTTGATATTTAGTCCATTCGTGTCCGACTCTAGGGCGCGGTGCTCATCCCCATTTCCAACCCGTAGAGCCAGCATTTATCCATAAACAGTTTCCGTGGTCATGTGGCCAGTGCAACTTAGACATGGAACGCTGTAACCTTCCCACCATGGTGGTACCTATTTATCTACTTGCATTTGCATGCTTTCAAATTGCTAGGTTGGCAGGGAAAAAAAAGTATTTCATACCCTCCCCTTAACTGGATAATGAAATAAGGGATAGCACCTCAGACATTCTACATGACAAGCAATCACCCTAATGTGGAGCTACTCGTTCACAGTAAAGAGGAACGGGTGAATTCTTTCTTCTCTTCAACCAGAGTTAAAAATCCTTTCTAATGTTACAACAAAACTGGATGTGAAGAAATGTATTGTTTGTGTGTGTGAGTGTGTGAGTGTGTATGTGTGTGTGTGTGTGTGTTTACAATAAATGGGGTTTTATTTCACTACAGGGCACATGATACACTGAGTGGTAAAGCAATGATATATATAATAATAAATTAGAAAGTGTCAGTTTTATTAACACCTGTTGCTTACAAAATAAAAATAACTGATATGAGCTGAAAAGAATAAATACAGATTATGTCTATTTTTTTATTTGTTTTCCTATTTCACCTCCCTGTAGTTTGAGGAGGAGGAGGGCACCTATGGCTAGCTCCTCAAAACATTAGTCATCTAAAAGCTGTACCTCAAAGAATATGCATCATAATTTCATTCTATTAATAACTGACTCTTCTCCTTTTTCTGCATACACTAATGTGCTTATTCAACAACATCACATAAGCAAGGAAAGTACTCAACTTGATACAGGCAATGGTTCAAAGTGATTGCTGAAAAATAATTTTTCAAGGCCTAAATTTACTCAGTCTTCAAGAATCCTAATATTAAATATGTATCTTCAGTGGAATTGTCTTTGGCAGGGGGCTAGATTAAGAAACTTAATATTTAGTGTTTACCAGTACACACAAGTCAATTATACATCCATAACATCTAGTATGACATATTATGCAGCAGAAAAAAATGATATCTTTGGAAACATTTATTTCCCCTGACTCTCTTCCTCTTTGGAGGCCACACATTCAGCCTTGACAAGCTCCAATTTCTCTTATCCTCCACTGTGAAACTCTAAAATCAGAGAGAGATGACTCTTCTTCCTCAGTTTGCCATTTTTAAAACCTAACTGAAATGTTGCACATTTCTACATTCAGTAGTGAATTTGTTTTACAGTATTTTTAAAATCTCAAGCATGTTCATATCAAAGCAAAGGCAGGTGACACCTTTATTATAAACCACTAAAAGAAAAAAAAGCTAGCTTTCAACCTATAGTAATCTTCATCAGGCTGGACACCAATCTATTGTGGATGGCACAGAGGTTCTCCTAAGATATACTGTTTCATAATTTCACATGTCTTTGTACATCACTTTCACTAATATACATATTTTAGTGTGCATTTTGCCCAAAGAGAGAGATATAGAGAGAGGCTTATGTTTTGGTTAGGGAAAAGCAAATTACCTACATTTCCATTACAATATTAGCAAAGGTAATTGTTTCTCTTTCCCTGTGTGGGATCTCTCTTTTGCACACGTAGCCATACATTAAAATGCAAAACACTGACACACCAATTCCTTTATCCGAGGCCACGTTCTTTCACAGTATTATCTGGGCAATGTGAACATAACTATGTGTGCTCAGAGGCTTTCAAATATAGTTATAGACATAACAAGATCGGTCAGTGATAAATAGCATATAAAGTTATTTTCTGCCCATAAGGTAACAGAGAAGTATATGTTTTCAAAGAACATATTATAAAGAAAAACAAACATCAATGATATTTGGTATTTTATTATCAAGTCCCTTGCCTGTGTAACATGTTTATGAGTTTAAGAAGCAGAATTTTACAACTAAACTCAGAGAGCTTTCAAAAACCTTAGCAATGCAGAAACTTCTTCTAGTTAAGGTTTAGGATATGCCACAGCTAGCCCATTAAAATACGCACATAGTAGTTCTCCTTTATAAATTCACAGGGTATTAACAGCCAGAGTCCACCATCACCTTACACCTTTTCTGGTCCAGCACTACCATTAGACAAAGTGAGGTAGTTCTATTAGGCAGCAGATCCATCATGAAAGAACATCAATTTTTAGACACCTAATCCTCTATTACCGTATGTTTTTACAATATTGTTCTGTATATCCCAAAGATGGAGACAGGTGACTGTTTCACTCATGTGTCTTGCTCACGTGCCATAATAACTTGACTGACCTTGGAGACTCTGCACCTGAACTTTGGGAGAAGGAACCATTTGTTGATCCACTTCAGAAAGCAAAATGCATCTTACCCACAATAACAGATAACACTTGTTTTATCCTTCACCTTCTACTTGCATCAAAGTACATGCAGTTTGAACAACCACTCACCTTAGCACATGAGTTGATCCATTTATAGTAGTGGTAGAACAAGGGACAGTTTGTCCCAAGATGGAAGGCCTTCTATATCGTTCATCACCACAGCACAGGATGATGAGGAAGGCACGTCTGAAAGACTTGTTCAAGAATGCATAAAGGAAAGGATTCAATCCTGAATTGATGTATCCCAGCCACAAGAAAGCAGTCCATATCTCCCCAGGAACTGCATAATCTATGAAAGGATCTATTACATTTGTGATAAAGAAGGGTGCCCAGCATAAACAGAAACACCCCATGATGATACAGAGAGTCTTGGCTGCCTTAGTTTCAGTCTTCATACGATGTGTGCTGTGCTGATCAGGATGGTGCGGCCTCCCATCTGTTGGTGCACCTGCACGCTGTAGAATTTGTATCTGGTGAGCATGCTCCCTGGCTGTAACATATATCCGGTAGTAGGCCAGCACCATTAGCAGAAATGGAATGTAGAAGGCCACCACAGAGCAAGTGATGGCATAAGGCTTGTTGACCATAAAAATGCAGTAGGTTGAGTTGGATACATTGTTGAACTGCCTTTTCTCTATCTGAGAAGGTGAACAAAGAAAGAAAGAAAAAGAAAGAAAGAAATATACTGGTATTTTATAGTTTCTTTGATACTTAATCATTTTTCCTCTCTCATCCATTTCTACCTGTAAAATGTGAGAAGTTGCTTCACCAATCTTTCTTCCTATTTTTTATTTCCCAGTTTATTTCTATCATAATGTCACATAATTTCTCTTAGTCAACATTTGTCTTACCCAGTGCTTGGTTTATCATTTCTGTCTTTTCCCTTGAATGTTCTCTCTCAATTTCTATTTTTTTTCTTGAAAAATCTCCTCTGTATTCATGTTTCTGTTGCACTGCTAATAAAACTGATATATAAATACTGGGGTAAGGGCCAGCTTACAATTATTAAGCAGAGAATCTCAGGTATCTCTAAGTACCTAGTTCAGTTAAGGATCCCACCATTTCCTGTCTGGTTCCTGATGCTGAAACCAAAGCTACCTATCAGACCATTCTGAAACCTAACTCTTCTAGATTAGGGATGGGTATGTATCAGGGCAAACCTTCATCGAGTTTCTGAGGACAACACCAAATACAAAATATGTACAAATAAAACTGAGGACCTGGAGTTCTACTTTTTTTTTTTTAACAGAAAAGCTACTTTGGAAGGTGCCAATTTGGAGCAGAGAAGTGAGGTTTAAACCAGTTACTGCTTGCTGATTTGCTGTTGCTCCTATCCACAGCAACGTTTGTTTGTGTGAATTCCAGACAGCATATCCAAGAATCTAGAATTCTACTGTGGAAGAAAACTGAGGGGCAAATGGATTATGTAGTTCCTACTTTCAACACTTCAGATTGCCCTTTTAAACAATCAAGTTTCTCTAACAAATGTGACCATTGGCATTCAGTTCCCTAAAGTACATAATGCATTTAATTCAATGCTAAGTGATTTTCTGAAGACACGTAAACCATGGTCACTTTGTAATGACTCAGTGCAAGGGCCTAGATTAAATGAAAATTTACAGACCCTTCCAGCTTTAGTATTCTATCAGCAGTTTTGCATTATCCTTAAATTCAAAGTAATGATATTTCCACAGAGCCACAAGATATGTTTGGAGGTTGTCTCTAGAGCCAGTTTCCTAAACTGCTGTAGCAAAAGAGAATTAAGCCTTTGATAGTCATCAAGATCACAGTGAGCCATAAATGGAAAACAATAAATGGCAAACAAAAGGCTTTGCCTGTAAAGGAAAGAGGCACTGTGGTCAGAGCAGATGCAGATGGCTCAGATTTTACCAGGGAAGCTTTATCTCTTTCAAGACACATCAGTCTTGAAAGAGACTGGGTGGTCAACATTATAGCACTGGGTGGCAGGGGTGCCTTCTTGATTCCTGTAAAAACATTTTCTGAATGAATTCTGAATATTTATTTTGGACATTCTTTCTTTAACGTTGTTGGATGGGATGGTCAGTTTTCAGACCGAGGGCATTATAACAATGTTTATACTGATATAAAATGTGTTTCACATCAAAGCAGTGGGATCTACTCACCAAGTCCATGATGCCAATACTATTCCAGCCTTGCATTATAGGGAGAAAAGAAATAAACAACGGGATTACCCAGCAGCCTCCCAGCATTAGTGCAATGCGCAAGGGAGTCATCTTATTTCTATAAACCAGGGGCTGGCAGCAGATAGCATAATACCTGAAAGAGAAAAGAAAGAGTTCTAAAATATGTGAATAGTAATGTGTGAATTGAAGTCATTTCAATTCATTTCTATTACTCATTCATCTGTAAAAATTCTTGTGCAACAGTCTTTTTTCACCCAAATTTAAACAAACAAACAAACAGCATGGAGAGAAGAGCAGCAATTCAGTATTACAAGCAATCCAATTCTGTGAAATTTGTATACAAGAGGAGCCTTGTGGTGGAGTGGTTAAGCTGCAGTACTGCAGCTAAAATTCAGCCCCTTCCAAAACTGCACAGCCCCTATTCCTCTTTAATATATTTTCAGTTCCCTCCCTCCCCCAGTTAGTCAAGAAAGCCAGGGGAGGGAAAGGATACATTGCTACCTTTATACATTTCCACAGATCAGGCAAATATTTTCTAATTTAGTGGTGGTGGTGGGGAGATGAACTGCACAGAAATTATTGTGGCAATTTATCTTAAGAAAGAAACCTTCGGCAAACTCTAAAACCATGGAAATATTTACCTCCCTTGGGCTTTGATGTTTTTGCACACAGGGACAAATCCACTGATCTAAGTGGTGAAGGACTAAAGATTTTAACCACAGTAAATAAAGCTGGATGGAACCTGGAGCAACCCTTCCAAGAAATTAGGCTTTAAGGTGCATGCGAATCTGCCTGGGTCCTAATATTTGTCACAGAGACTCTGTGTGCAAACCCACCACTAAGGGCAGTTGGACCGGTCAGTGTATGGCCTTATGCTTTTTCTAAGGTGTCTCTGGACTTCTCTTCCACAGAATATATCTGTTATCTTCTCCTTAATTATTTTTGTAAGTGGGCCTTAAATATGTCTTCATTTAATTAATGATATCTAATAGGATTTTTAAACTGCCACCCCTTAATGTATTCTCAAAGACAGATCATCTCTTCCCCTTAGCATAACAATACGCCCACAACAAAAATCTGATCACCATAATCGCCCAGTCTCCTGAAAAGGACAAAAGACGATCCCACTCAACTATCCCACAAACTGCACCAGAGTACAGACAGAGTTCTGACTCCTGTCCTCTGAAGATGCCGGCCACAGAGACTGGCAAAATGTTATGAAGAAAAACCTTAAGTACACGGCCAAACAGCCCAAAAAACCTACAACAACCAACTGCCACCCCTTAGTTGCTTGCATTCTTTTTCTTACATATTGTTGATCTGGGCTTGAGCTGCTTTGGCCTGCTTTTTAATACACGAAGGGTATGTGGGCCTATTTTATGTTTTCAAACTTTTTTTAAAAATCTAATTATTTCAGTTTTGAGGGGCTTTATTTTTCCCCCTCAAAGGTAACATAAAAATATCTAAATAAACAGCAAATGTCTGGGTAGCTTTCTATAGCACCTCTGAGCCAGCAATAAGAAAGATATGAAAATATCCTGTGAATTTGCCTGTGAAGCAAAATATGGAGTCCGAATCTCTGAAGCAACCGAGGCCTCTGTGACTTCTCCTGTCAATCCTTATGGTCCTACTTCACTTCTGATCTCTCCTCATCTGAAGGAGATATAACTGGCAACTAATTTAAAGGCTTCTGACTTTCAAATACTGAAGAAAGGTGACTCCGTGACTATAGTAACAAAAAGTCACCAAGATGAAAGCAATTAACTAGTGGCTTCCTGCAGTGTGGCAGGAAGCAGAGTGGAGGAGTGGCTGCTTGGGAAACAATGCCCAAAGCTTGCTTTGGGCATGCAGAAGTAGCTGTCCAATTCTTTGGCTCGTACCACTTCTTAATTTTTGTTTTTGGCATTATGCATACAGCTTCACCCACAGACACAGCACTCTTCAAGCTTCTAAAGCAGAAGCTCATATGTGCTGCATATCACTCAGACAAGAACACTGTTTAGTACTGAAAACGCAAATATTTGGTAAACTGGAAGCCAACTGTTGTTATTTGAACCACAGGGAAGCAGGCTTCTGAGGAACATCTTAATGACCCTTGTCTATAATACACACTGCCCCCTCCTGCTGATATTTATGCTAAATGTGCTGAAAGGTCTGCACAGGGGGTCATATGCTAGTAGGAATAATAGGCTCCTCTGTATTTCAACCATTAAGGACAGCTTCATAATTAAAATGTACAGAAAAATAGGAAAGATTGTAAAGGGAATTATTTTTCCATGTGCTGTGTTTTTTATATATACAACCCCCCCCCCAAAAAAAAAGGTCCACAGAAATAATATCTGCCAGCTATGAGATCACCAACAAATGGAAAACTGATACTCATCATGTGGAAAATGAAGAAGAGGCCAGAAGGCTGAACATAGCAGAACTATATGGTTGCCTGCATCCAAAGCAAGAGGGAAAGCAAACATAGGTATTGACTGAGCCTGCTCCATACTAGGGGAAGCACAAAAACTATTCCATGCAAGGGATAATGATTTAGTTCTTTATAGTGATTTGGGGAATACATGCAGCTCTCTAGGGTCCATCAAAAAGTGTCTTCCTCTAAAGAGAGAGAGAACTGCAAGATACTGAAAGTCCCCAATTGAAGGAACATAATAGATATGGAAGGCCAGCATCCTTCTCTCTGCAAGGCTTCAAAACAGACATTTAAAGTAATGCTCTTTATGGCCACTTCCACAAGAGGAGAATCAAGTTACACATTATATGCCTTTTTCTCCCATCATAGATTTAACTTTCTTTCAGTAGCTCTTTTACAAAACACATGACCATCCACATTGGAGTGAAAATATAGAGAACCTTTTTTTTGTCGATGTTTTCAGCAATTTTGACTGCAGCTTCTGCTTATTTCAAAACTGTGCTATCACAGCTAGATAACTTCAAAAAATAGCTCTCTTCAATAGATACATTTACTGAAAAATTGTATCATTTCCCACAAATTCTTCCCAGCCATCCAGAGATACATTTTTCCCCCACATCTTCAAAACACTTCACCATGATGTTGTTTAAATTAACCCAATCTATATTTAACTAATATGGATTAGAATATGGGTTAGAACAGATTATAAGAAATTAGAACACTTGGATTAGCATCATTCTTTTTTCAAATTATTTTGCTTCCTAGCAAAACCTGACTTCTTTATAATGGTTGTATTTCTAAATTTAAATTTTCTCTTTTAAAAAGTACAGGAACTTCATAATCTGAAGGAATACTTAAAACATACTCTGTATGTTTAATTTTCTTAAATATTTGTATTAAATTGTGGTCAATCCTGTTATATAGACTTTATTAGTCTTTTCCTGATTGTTCATTCTTCTTAATAAGGATTAAAAAGACAGAAATGTCTAATGGTCCATATCAGAGCTCTTATTAACATCCAGTTGACAGTGTTCATGCTTGACAGAAGCTAGAGTGAAAAAAATATCCTGCAAACTAAATGCAGGTATGAAGAATGTGGTGACATATATTTAGTTGTTCAGTTCAAAGGCTCTAAATCACCCCATTTACCTTGCCTTTTCTATTTATTTATTTATTTATTTATTTATTTATTTATTTATTTATTTATTTATTTATTTATTTATTTATTTATATATGCCGCCCACTCTACCCAAAGGTCTCTGGGTGGCTATGCCAACATATACCTTCTAGATAGTACTTCTGTAGAAGAAGGAATTCCTTAAGTGCTGAAAATGGTTAATTGTCAAAGCATGAGTTTTTCTCACCTCCTATAGTTTTTACAAATTATTTTACCTTGTTTTGTTACTAGTCAATGGGCTGTATCTGCAAGTATGATTGCTCAGTAATAAATGTCTATCAGAACCATGTCTCCGTAACAACATTTCTGCTTCGAATGAACATTTAGTCTGGGCCTCTAACTTTATGAAAATCACAACCTGAATGCCATGCAAAACCTCAGCCCATCATATCCATGCTAGAGGGTGGGTGGGTGGAATCACTGAGCTCCAACAGTGCACAGAGAAATCATACAACCACGCTGAACAGCTGCAACAAACAGGAGGCCCTCTGAAGACTGCTCATTTAAATATCACTTTACAGCTGGAAAGGCTCTCAAAGTGGTTTAAATGACCATGAAAACAGAACAAGACAATCCCAACTCACTGAGATATAACAGAAGAAAATAGTGATGGGAAGTAGGTAAACAGAAACTGCAGGCACACATCTATAAAGGCCAATATTAATACAGTTGAATTGCTGTATTGTTGAAAGCTCCGACTCTTTTGATCCGAACATTGCAACCCTCCATTTGAAAAAGGACGAACAATTTTCTAGGACACAATTACAGAGCTTAAAAATGTTCCATTTTTCAACTGCAATTTTTTTTGACTGGGTGAGGGATTATCGGAATTTCATCCAAAAAAATAATGTTTCCAAACTCTGAACTGTTAATGTGCTTACACAGGTGCAGATGGAATTCTGTAGACCATTTTGTTTCCTGATTGCATCTGCTATTTTTGCTGACTGACTGTGCCAACTAGAGGTGTTCATGGTGAACATTTCTCATTTCCAATTCATTTTGTATTCTTTTAGGGTGTCTCTTTTATTTATTTATTTACCAGTTCTGTCTTTAAACATGAAAGTGACTGGCTCTTTTTCAGTTCTTTCATTAATTTTGTTCATTTAATTTCTCTCCATTCCTGTCTTTGTGGCACCCATCCAGAAACCCTAAAGAATCTGAAAAGCTACAAAAACTAACCAAACAAAGCAAAGGCAGGGTAACAAAGAACCAATCTATTCTAAAACTGGATCTGAAATGGAATAAGTTGTCTAAGAATGGAATGAGTTGGTGATCATCATCACTATCATCCCATCAAATATGCACCTTTAATAAAATAAATACACACAACGTATTCGCCAAACAATTATAAATACAATCAAACATGGAAAGCACATGTGTGCATGCGCGCGCGCGCACACACACACACAAGCAGAATATATCACACACACCCAGCCCCTTCTCCCTGAAACCAAGAAAAGAAAGTAAGCAAATAGAGATGAAAAATACAAACACACACCCCCAAAACAAAATGACTAGAATATGATGTTTCTCTTCC